TGTTGAAATAAGAAGCGGCGGCGGGGCTGCGTCCCCAACACCCCGGCCGCTTGGCTAGCTCATGCCCGAAATAACAACACACAAACTGTATTCATTTGAGAACTGCTTGGCCCCTGAATTCTAGCCCTTACAGGCTAATTCTCGCACCTGGACTAGCCCATTTCTAATGATGTGTGTAAGCTTACCCAAGGTGCGCTTACCGGGAAGATTCTAGCCTCCTTCCATCATGGTGTCTCTGCTCCAGAGCGCAGAGCTGTCAGGTCTCTCCGGGAGCAGAGCAGAGTCTGACCTCACTTCCTCTTCCGCCCAGCATCCTATCCTGTTTATTCTGCCCACCTATCTTTTAACCTATCAGGACCAGCAGTTTCTTTATTGCTCAGCCAATGAAATCAACAGATTGATATATGACACTCCCACATCAAACATGCTAGTTATCTAGAGTTGAGGACTTTGTCACCAATCTGATCAATACAGCAAGAGCCCAAACAATAAAAAAAAGTACTGGAGCAAAGGTTAGAGAACAGGAAGAGGATAAAGAAAGGAAGAGAAAGTGGTAAAAGAGAACAAACATAATCAAACTGTTTTACACACATATAGGAAGTTGTTTGATATGTGTATAAATGACTCTTATTTTATATGATTAGGATGGACTAATAAAAACACACTTGATGTAGAAAAGTGAGGATATACAAATCACCAAAACAAAAATTTATATCAACTAGAATTCCATTTCTCAAAGAGAACAGCATTAAGAATTCTGAGTATGTCCAGAGACAGAGGCCAGATAAGGCAAGAGAAACAAAGAAAACCAGCCTGCTTGAAAAGGAAAGTGGCCTTAAGAGCCTGGGGACAACTGTATAGGAGACAGTGATGTTTCAGCTGCTAATGAGAAGGTAAAGGCAAGGAAGTCAGTGAGGAGGTTATTTCACAGTAAACAAACAGGGGTGGAGGCTCCTGATAGTCAAGGAATTGAAAGTGGCAGGTAAGTGTCTTAGTTGGGGTTTCTATTTCTGTAAAGATATAACATGACCGTGGCAACTCATTCAAAGAAAACATTTAACTATGGTGAGTTGACTAAAGTTCAGAGGTTCAGTCCATTATCATCATGGTGGGACATGGTGCACAGGAAAACATGGTGTTGGAGAGGTAGCTGCTACATATTGATATGCAGCAACTGAAAATAGCCTGTCTCACTAGACACGGCTTGAATACATATGAGACCTCAGAGCCCACCCCCGCAGTGACACACTTCCTCCTGTAAGACCAAACCTACTAGAATAAGACTATACCTCCTAATATTGCTGCTCCCTTTGGAGGTCATTTTCTTTCAAACTACCACAGTGTGAAACTTTAGTGCAGGTGGCTCATAATGGTGCCTCGTTTTGTGAATAGCACATTCTGAAGTTCCACTTTCAGTCAGTGTAAATGCTAAGCATGCATCAAAACTACCATCTTTTGGTAGTTCCATGGTAGAGATCTTAAAAATCTTTCAGAGGGTGTGGATGTGGATCCATTCCTAGCACCCACATCAGATGGCTCACCACCTTTATCTAAAGTCCCAAAGGATCTGATGCCCTGCTTTAAGCCTTTGTAGGTTTCTGCATGCATAGAGTACATACAGACAAGCAAGCATACAAACATACATTGTCTTCATTAGGATGACCTCCTCACTGACTCTTATTTTATATGATTAGGATGGACTTCCCTGCTTTTACCTTCTCATTGGCAGCTGGTTTTGTAAAGTTAAAAGAGAACAGCCTATACTTTTTGTTTCAATCAAAGCTGGTCATCTCTAATCTCAGTCTTATAACTTGAGGTTTTGATTTTGTTACACTGTTTTGTTTGCCATGTTAAGGTCAAATGTTGCACACACCAGACACAAAGCTACTTCCAGCCTCTTGCAGTTTGTAGCTTAGGCTGGTTTAAAATTCAGGGTTCTCCTGCCTTTGTATGCTTGGTTTCTGACATTAATATCTCTATTTCTCTCTTTCTTCTCTTTCTGTCTCTGTCTGTCGTTCTATGTGCATCTGTCTATCTCACTCTGTGTGTCTGTGAATTTACCTCTCTGTCAATTTTTCTCTCTGTCTAAGATGCTCTGTCTCTCTGTGTGTGACTGTGTCTCTCCATCTCTGTCTGTCTATCTATCTATCTATCTATCTATCTATCTATCTATCTATCTCTCCTCTTCCTGCTTCTCTTGGAAAGATATAGAGATCACATGAACCAGCACATTTATAGATTTTATGATCATGTTCAACATCCCACCACAGAGTCACACTCAATCATTTCTCCTGAGCTCTCTTCTCACCTCCTCTTTCCAGTTTTCATTTATGAAACTCTAGAATGCAGTTCCAAAAGAAATAAGTTTTATTCACACTAAAACAAAGAGGCTGTCTGAATTACCAAGGTACTCCATTACACCAGACCCTGTGCTAGGTACTATAGATTAAAAAGAAAAGATGCCAAGCACTTGTTCACACCCTGTGGGACACCTAGACTAGTCAGAAACAGACACACAAAATAAGCACACAGCATGCTATGATATAAGGATGTAGATGAGGAACCACGCAGAGAAGAGGATCCAGATGTTGGAGAAAAAGAGCAAATAAAAGCTGGTAAATCCTGGGGATGACATATTGACACCTTGTGCTCAGGCAGATAGAAACCTAACCTGCTGTGTGGGGTTTGCGCACCTTAGAACATCCACACACAATTCACTTCCCTCATGTCCTCTCTCTCTCTTTTTTTTCTATATCTCTCTCTCCCTCAGGTCCAGGTGGACCCCAATCACTAACTCTAGTTGGCAGGTTCTCTTCTCCACTCTTGAGTTCACAGGAAGTCTGCAGAAGCTCGACCTAAGTGGAAACCCACTGAGTTACTTAGCACTGAGGAGCCTTTGTAGGACACTGAGATGCCCTACGTGTAAACTAAGGATATTGTGGTGAGTTTGGCCTGGGCTGTACCCTGAAGCACGGATGAATGGCAAGAGAACAAAGGAAAAAGATGTATCTAGGGTGAAGCTAAGTATCATCAAATATTCATTAAACCCTCTTGACCACAGCTGTGACAGATGACAGACTTGTTACGATAAACAAATATATTCTTGGAGTCGTAAAATACTGATATTCATCAGGGAGCCCCACCAGCTATTGCTAACAGCAGGCCCATGAGGGCTCCAGTGGGACAAACATCCTGAGGAAAGGGCTGCAGGAGAGCAGAAGAACACAGAGGAGGAGGCTAAATGAAGCAGAGGGAAAGAAAGCTCCAGGCAGGGGAATGGCATCCCCACTTCCTCCTGCTCTCTGCCCTTATAACCAGCCTTCTGCTCTGTTTCTATGGACTCAATCTTTACTAAGATTTCACATGACTAATGAGATCATGTCCTATTCTATGGCTGGTGAATGACATATCAGATGGCTCTTGAAATACACCAGTTAGTTTTCCTGGGGTTAGAGGAGCTCTGTCATGGCCAGTCACAGCAGAGCAGTGGGTCTCAACCTGTGCTCTATGATTCTGCAGCTCAGCTGTGGGAAGCATGGAATTATGCACCCAGACTAGAAAAGGCACTCCAGAGGGCTAAGTACTGATCACGCAATGTGTCAGGGCTCACAAAAGGATATCTGAACTCTGTTCCCAAGAGCAATGAGTCGAGGAGAAGCTGATGGTGAGTATCTCCCATGCAGGCTTGTCAACTGTGGCCTCACATCCAGCAACTGTGGGGTGCTGGCATCATTGCTCAGTGCCAGTTCCAGCCTGACTGAGCTAGACCTGCAGCTGAATGACTTGGGTGACCATGGTGTGAGGCTGTTGTGTAAGGGGCTCAGGAATCCTGTCTGCAACCTTAAAATCCTGTGGTAAGTAAGATCCTTGGATTCCTTCTGGGCAGAAGTCAAGGGGTGGGACACAGGTGCATTATTAGATGACAAGATATAGAATAGAAAAGGGACAGATAATTCATAGTCAGCATAGTCAGCTTGGCTCATGACCAGTGACTTTAGCAAGTTACTGCCTTCTTTAAAACTCAGATTCCTCACCTATTAAATGGAATGCCATACCTACCTCATGGATTGCAATGACACAAAATGTGTATCTGTAAAAGAGAAGGTAACACCAGGTAGGTAGCTGGGCACAGTGGAATCATATGTATTAGCAAGGCTGTATATCCTGGAAGACTCCCAGGTTTGCCTTCCTCCAGGACAGTGCTTCAATCATTTATTCATTCAAGGATCCATGCGTGCATCCTTATCAGGGCTCCTGTGTGTGCGAAGCACTGGTCCAGACCTTAGACATACAATCACGAACACACATGGCTCCGTGTTGACAGAGGTTTCTGTCCCATTTCGGTTCAGCAGCCATTCAGTCCCAAAGAAACACACAAAGGTCTGTATGAATCATAAACTGATTGGGCTATTTTGTTCAGGCTTCTTATTAACTCTTATAGCTTATATTAACCCATAATTCTTGTCTGTGTTAGCCACGTGGCTTGGTATGTTTTATCAGCGGAGCATTCTCATCTTGCTTCCTCTGTGTCTGACTTCCTCCATGACAACTGCAGACTCAGGATTTCCTCCTCTCAGAATTCTCCTATTCTCATTGCCCCACCTCTACTTCCTGCCTGGCTACTGGCAGCATTTTATTAAAACACAAGTCACAGGGTACAAGACCATTGTTCCACAGTAGCTCCATCCTGCTGAAGCTAGGTAGAAATAGACTGACAGGGATTACCCATTAGCCCATGACTTTATTGACAATTTGTACTGAATGCTGTGGAGTCAACAGTATTGTGAAAGTATAATGTTCTCTGAAGGAGAAATGGATCTTGTTTGGGTCAGCCAGGAGACAGCAGCCCAGACAAAAGTAGAGTTGGAAAAAGCCCTAAACAAATAAGGATGGGAGCCCTCAAGGGTCATTGTGTTTCACCACAGGAACTTCTTGTCCTCTGTCCAGAATCCCTTTAGTATTATGGTCATGACCTCCAGCCACTGGGAATAGCTGATGGCTACTCTGTGGCCCTTTGTCAACAAAATCCCCTCATCTCTGACCATGTTATCTTCCCCAGGACACTCTGTTTCCAGACTTGTGTGGGAGGGGTATAAAGGGCCAGGCCCTCCTTTTATCTCTGGAACATTCCAAAGGTCTTCATCCTTACTTCAGATCTCCCTGCACACTGACCAAGCCCCACCTAGAATTTATCATGGAAAAATTTCTCTCTGTTCATCCTGGGCTCTCTGTCTATCATCCTGATTTTGGCTCAAGAATAAGCCTTAATAAGATTTCTTATTGGCTCAATCTACAGAGTCCAGAATCCTGGACCCTGGGGCCTCGTGGTCCTGTGCTGGATCCCAGAAGAAACAGTCTCCTCTTGTACTTTCAGGCTGGACCAGGCCCATCTCAGTGACCAGGTGATCATGAACCTCAGGGCCCTGGAGGCAAAGAATCCAAAGCTGTGTATCTTGAGCATATGGTAAGGGCTGGACATAGAAGTCTCTCTGATCAACCTGCCCTATATGTGGCTGTTTCAGAACTGAGGGGTGGGAAAAGAAGATTGAGGTGATGAGAAAGAAAAGCAGAGCCAGGAAGAAACCAGGAAACCACAGCAAAAGTGAGGAAGGGTTCTGTGTATTAGGAAGTTGTATTTTTTTTAATTTTGGAAAAAAAAATAGAATCATATTACATGCTTATATAAGTTCTTCCATCTGAAAAATAGGATATGAATGTGAATAAATGGTAACTTCTCTGCGCACAGCCATAATGACAATGGTAGTCATCTGTAAACCCAAACCACAGGAACAATGAAAGCAGAAACCACTCTTAAGAAAAACACACAAAAAAAATCTCTTAGAAAAAAAAAACCCTATGAGTATCACTATATATCACTATACTAACCCTAATGATCAGACACACACAGGATTATGTTCATGCCACACACAAGAACACACACACACACACACACACACACACACACACACACACACACTGATACTACGGAATTTAGGACCTTAGGAGAGGAAAGTCATTTTCCATCCCACAACCTCTGCTAAAGTCCCATGTTGTCCCTGTTTATTCAATTTCAGTTCGTGACCATGAATTCCTTCTTCCTAAAGTTCCTAGCTGTCCTGCCACATGTGAGACCTAGGGTTCTATAGACATAGAATGGTCATCCATTCATTGAGTGAACATTTGTGCAAAACACACTGTGCATCATACACTGTTTTGGGGTCTGAGGGCATATCAGTGAGCAAGGCAGACAGACACACCATTTGTTATCACTAGATACCAGCAGTGAAGGGACACTTGTTCCTCAGTATCTACAGAATTGTACCTGGGAACCTATGAGTGTAGCAATGGTCTGTCTGACCTCATTCAAAACTGAGGTGAGATCTCAAAGATGAGAAATGTGGAGTTGATACAAGAAGAAAATTCCAGTCAGACACAGAGGATAAGGAAGCAGAGAGAGCAGCTCCACTAAGAGACAAGACACCATGTATGAGACCATCTGTTCTGCCTCATCATCCCCAGGGAGCTCCACAGAAATGCAGGTGCTCAGACCCCACTCCATCCCTGCTGACTCAGAATCTCAGGTGTGGCAGCTTCCTTCAGTGAGCTTTCTGACTTAGCATCCTGTCCAGGTGACATTTTAACACAGTGATTTGAAAGCCACTGGTCTAGATTTGAGCAGGAAAGGGTGACATAAGAAGGCCTGGAGAGGGACGGGGGCCACAGAAAGAACTATGAACCACCCTAAGAACCTTCTGTTTCTCCCCAGAGGAAATGAGAGACAACCCAGTCATGAAGGGGCATCTCTACCAATTTTTTATGGTCAGGTACTATGTAGAAAATGTGCTAGAAGGGACCAGACCTGAAGCAGGGATGCCTGCCAGAGGATGGTAGAGAGGTTCAGAACAATGCTCACTCCATCCTGGGACAAGGATGGAGTCTGTGGAAGAGAAGAGTAGAGAACAGAAAGGAGAGAGATTTAGAAGATCCTGTCTAGGTGATTGGAATTCAGGGTGAGTAATTATTTTTTTTTTTGTGCAGCTGTAACACAGTGTCTGACACTGGACACTAAACGTATAGAATTAAGGTTATTTCAGTTTTGAACACAGGGGAGGGAAAGGGCGTGGACTGTATATCGAGAGAATCCTTCTTCCTGTTCCATCTGACTGTGCAACTGTCTGAAAGTGAAAGGCCAAGTCAAGCTGGCTTTTGTGACAAGTCCTGCCAGGGCACAGGAATCTACTTATTAACCCCTTCATGACAGCAGAGCACGTATGACCTCACTGTGTCTTATCCATCATCCTGTCAGCACTGTGACATTGGGGATTAACATTCTAATGAGTAAACATTTGGGAACACAATCAAATTAGAAGAAAGAGGAATTGAGATGATCTCAGGTTAGGGCATAGATGCTCAGGAGGATAGGGGCCTTCATAGAGTTCTGGCCTAGCTAAGATGCATGGTACTGAGTTTGAATTCAGATGAGTTGGATTTTATGTGAAAATATTATGAACAAAGTCCTGGTTGCCCTGACATCTGAGGGAAAGAAAACCTTTTTCTTTAGGAATCCACATGTGATGGACCCTACTAAGAATCCAGATGGAGAAGAAATGAGTGCCAACCTGATCACATTCATGCAGCAGAGACTACAGTTGGGTATGTAAAGGATAGATTCAGAGCATCATGATTGGCAGATGAAGAGGTATCTGTGGGAGGAAGTCATCATTTCTTTCTCTTTAAATTTAATTTTATTTTAGAATTTAATGCACAAGCACTATATGTATATCATTTCCAACCATAAGTCTGCCTACTCTAATAACTCCTCTGTCCCACCAACAAACTCTTTCAAATTTATGACCTGTTCTTAAATACTATTGTTAAATACATGGACATTTACACAACTTCAGTCCATTAAATAACCTATTGAGTCCAACTAGACAACCTATCAGGAAACTATTCCTCAAGAAGACTGATTTTTATCCCTCTTCTATCAGCTATTAATTGCCTATAACTCTTCATTTAGAAGTGGGGCATTTTCAGATTTTTTCCATCCACATTAGCATGTCAACTCGTGTTGTCATTTTGCAGATTTTGTTAAGGAAAAGATAATATTGAGATTTTATTGGTACAGCATCCCTTGGGGGAGAACACTACCTGCAATAGATGATTTGGAAATAGTCATCATTTCTATCCCTCTATCTCTGATATGGAACAGGAGAGGCTTTCCAATAGGAGTAACAGTCCTTGCAAGGCATTCCACACCTAGAAACAGGAGGGAATACTGCTTCCTTCTTTCCCAGCCTTGGGGGCTGCTGATGCCCCTTACTCAAATATTTTGCATAAGGCTCTATATCAGGGTTCTGTGTTTCACTCTGGGTTGCTATGGCCTGGGATTAAAATGTCTATCTATGCTCACCTATGTTTTGAGTTATGTTCTGGTCTCAACATACGCACTTGAGACATGCTGGGAAACTCAGTGCTTATGGACTAGTTAGAAAGGGATGGTTAAACATTAAAACATCTGCTAATGTAATCCACCATATAAACAAACTGAAAAAACCCACAGCATCATCTCATTAGATGTTGAAAAAGCCTTCAACAAAATTCAATATCCCTTTATAATAAAGGTCTTAGAGAAATTAGGGATACAAAGAAAATACCTAAACATAATAAAGGCATGTACAACAAATCAAAAGCCAGCTTCAAAGTAAATGGAGAGAAACCCAAAGAGATTCCACTAAAATCAGGAACAAGACAAAGCTGTCTACTTTCTCCATACCTACCCAATATAGTACTTAAAGTTCTAACTAGAGCAATAAGACAACAAAAGGAGATCAAGGTGATTAAAAACTGGAAAGGAAAAAGTCAAAACTGTTGAAATAAGGGCGGCAGGGCTTGCGTCCCCGGCACCCGGCCGCCAGCATTGCTAGCTTATGCCCAGAAATAATTACACGGAAACTGTATTCTATTAAACACTGCCTGGCCCGGCTAGGTCCAGCTTCTTATTGGCTAGCTCTTACATATTGTTCTAACCCATTTCTAATATTCTGTGTAGCCCACGAGCTGGCTTACCAGGGAGGATCTTAACCTGCGTCTGTCTGGAGTGGGAGAACCATGGCGACTCTTCCACTAAGCTTCTTTCTCCCAGAATTCTCTTCTGTCTACTCCGCCTACCTAATTTTCTGTCCTATGAGGGCCGAGGCAGTTTCTTTATTATTAACCAATGAAATCAACAGATAAGATACAAGACCCACCTCCATCACAAAACTTTTTCAGATGATTTAATAGTATACATAAGTGGCCCAAGAATTCTACCAGAGAACTCCTACAGCTGATAAGTACCTTCAGTAAAGTGGCAGGACACAAAATTATCAAAAAATATCAGTAGCCCTCCTATATAAAGATGGTAAATGGGCCGAGAAAGAAATCAGAGAAATATCACCCTTTAAAACAGCCACAAATAACATAAAATATCTTGAGGTAACACTAACTAAACAAGTGAAAGATCTATAAGACAAGAACCTTAAGTCTTTCCAGAAAGAAATTGAAGAAGATATCAAAAATGGAAAAATCTCCCATACTCTTGGATAGGTAGGATCAGCATAGTTAAAAAATGATAATCCTACCAAAAGCAATCTAAGGGTTCAAAGCAATCCCCATCAAAATCCCAACACAATTCTTCACAGTCCTCAAAAGAATAATACTCAACTTCATATGGAAAAACAAAAAAACCCAGGATAGGCAAAACAATCCTGTTCAATAAAGGAACTTCTGGAGGCATCACCATCCCTGACTTCAAGTTCTACTATAGAACCATAGTCATAAAAACAGCTTGATATTAGCATAATAACAGACACATGAACCAATGGAATCAAATTGAAGATCCTGATATTAACCCATACACATATGAATACATGATTTTTAACAAAGAAACAAAATATTACAATGAAAAATAGAAAGCATCTTTAACAAATGGTATTGCCATAACTAAATGTCAACATGTAGAAGATTGCAAATAGAACCATATCTATCCCCAGGCACAAAACTCAAGTTCAAGCAGATCAAAGACCTAAACCTAAATCCAGGTAGACTGAACCTGGTAAAAGAGAAAGTGGGAAGTAGCCTTGAATGCATGGGCACAGGAAACCACTTTCTAAATATAGCACAAGCAGCACAGACACTGAGAGCAACAATCAATAAATGGAACCTCCAGAAACCAAGAAGCTTCTATAAGGCAAAATGCATGGTAAATAAGACAATTCAGCACCCTACAGAATATGAAAAGATCTTCATCAACCCCATATCTGACTGAGAGCTGATCTCCAAAATATATAAAGAACTCAAGAAACTAGACATGAAAATACCAAATAATCCAATTAAAAAATGGAGCACAGATCTAAACAGAGAATTCTCAACAGAAGGATCTCAAATGGTCAAAAGACATTTAAGGAAATGCTCAACATTCTTAGTCATCATGGAAATGCAAATCAAAATGACCCTGAGATACCATCTTACACCTGTAGGAATGGCTAAGACCAAAAACACTAATGACAGCCTATATTGAAGAGGATGTAGATTAAGGGGATCGTTCCTCCACTGCTAGTGGGAATGCAAACTTATACAGTCACTTTGGAAATCAGTATGGTGATTTCTCAGAAAATTGGGACTCAATATGCCTCAAGACTCAGCTTTACCATTCTTGGGCATATACCAAAGGATGCTCAATCATACCACAAGGGCACTTGCTCAATTATGGTCATAGCATCATTATTCATAATAATTAGAACCTGTAAACAACCTAGATGCCCCTCGACCAAGAATGGATAAAGAAGATATGATACATTCACACAAAGGAGTATTACTCAGCTGAAAAAAACAATGACATCATGAAATTTGTGGTCAAATGGATGGAAGTAAAAAAAATCATTCTGGAGTGAGGTAATGCACACCCAAAAAGAAAACATAGCATGTATTCACTCATAAGTGGATACTAGATATAAAGCAAATGATAAACAGACCACAATCCACAGCTCCAGAGAAGCTAGGTAACAAGGAGGACCCTAAGAGGAAAACATGAATCACCCTGGGAAGGGGAAATACATGAGACCTCCCAAGTAAATTGGGGCCTGGGGATGGTAAAGGGGAGGAGATGGGGGATGAGAACATGGGGGAACAAGATGGTCGAGTTGGTGGAGGAATAGTGTGGGAAAGCAAGGAAAGAGATGTCCTGATAGAGGGAGACATTATGGGGTTAGGGAGAAATCTGATGCTAGGGAATTTCCCAGGAGACCACAAGGATGACCCAAGTGAAGACTCCTAGCAATAGTGGAGAGCTTGCCTAAACTGGCCTTCTCCTGTCATCAGATTGGTAACTACCATAACTGTCATCATAAAACCTTCATTCCATAACTGATGAAAGCACATGCAAAGGTCCACATCAAAGCACCAGGCTGAGCTATGGGAGTTCAGCTGAAGAGATGAAGGAAGGATTGTATGTGCAGGTGGGATCAAGATCATGACAGGGAACCCACAGAGACAGTTGACCTGAACTTGCAGGAGCTCATGGGCTCTAGACTAAAAGCTGGGAAGCCTGCGTGAGACCAAACTAGGCCCTCTGCATGTGGGCTACAGTTTTGTAGCCTGGTCTGCTTGTGGGATCCCTGACAGTGGGACCAGGATATATCCCTAGTGCATGAACTGGCTATTTGAAGATTATTCCATACAGTGAGATGCCTTGTTCAGTCTTGATGAGTGGGGGATAGGGGAATTTGGTCCTGCCTCATTTGAATGTGCCAGATTTTGTTGACACCCATAAGAGGCCTTACACATTCTGAAGAGCAGATTGGGGTGGGTTGGGGAGAGGTGGGAGAGTAGGGGAAAGAAGGGAGGGAAACTGTTGTTGGTATGTAAAATGAATTTTAAAAAGTAAATATATATAAAAAAAGAAAGGCTGGGTGGTGGTGGCACAAGCCTTTAATCTCAGCACTCAAGAGGCAGAGGAAGGCAGATCTCTGTGAGTTACAAGAGCTGGTTCCAGGGCAGGCATGAAAGAACACCGTCAAAAAAAGAAAAAAGAAAATAAAAGGAAAAGAAAGAAAGAAAGGAAGGAAGGAAGGAAGGAAGGAAGGAAAGAAAGAAAGAAAGAAAGAAAGAAAGAAAGAAAGAAAGGAAGGAAGGAAGGAAGGAAGGAAGGAAGGGAAAAGAAAAGAAAAGAAAAGAAAAGAAAAGAAAAGAAAAGAAAAGAAAAGAAAAGAAAAGAAGGAAATAAAACACAGGAGCTGGTGTAAGAGCAGATGTTATGGTTGGTCAAAAGAGAAGAGTATGAAAACAATAAAACCAAATGTATATGTATAAATGAAAAGCATGTAGGTAGCCTGAGGAACAGCAATAAAAACTGGAACTGCACTTCCTGCTAAAGCCTAGGCCAGAGAACCTGGAAAAGAGTTTAGCCATGGTCCAACACTAGAGAAAGCTCTGGAGATGAGCCTGGACAACAAAGGGTGACCTCTGTCTGGCCTGTCCTAGAGGAGGGATGTTCATAATTTGCATCACTAATGACCTTCCACCCAACTTCTCCTGTCTCTCCAGGACATGAGTGCATGGAACCACTGGGGACTGAAGATGACTTCTGGGGTCCTACAGGGCCTGTGACTACAGAGGTGATTGACAGAGAGAGGAACCTATACAGGTGAGTGAGCCCTGCCTGGAAAAGGTGACTTTCCCCAGCACACTTTCCACACTTTTCACCTGGTCTCTACTGTGTACTCTCCTCCCCTCACCAATGCAGGTATCAATGTCTGGATGGGAGTAAGAAGTTTGGGCTGTTATAAAAATAGGGGACTTTAGCATGAAATTTTCAAACATTTACAAAACTGAAGAGCACAAGAACTTCCCTATCTAATAACTCAGTTCGAACAACCATTTTCCCAAGTTCGTTTCAACTACTCACATTCCTCCTTTGTCATCACTGTCACAGTAGTGTGAGTCCAGGACATCAGGTGACTTCACCCACAAACATTTCACTCTGCCTACCCCACAGTTAAGATAGAATCTCATCTTCCATAACCAGCACACCATTATCACATGAATAGAGCTGATGGGAGTCCATTTCATCTAAACATCTGTGCTCAACTTGGCTCATGATTTGAAACATGGACTTTCTGCTGGTTATTTTATTCGTGCTATAAGCAGCATCCCTGCCATCATTATATTTGGTTTCTTCTGTCTTGGATTTCCCTCCAACCCCTGTAGTCTCTGTACTCCTTCTTCACTAACAACCACTGTGTGCCATGAATCCACTGGGAGCTGAGACCATGAGGATGCATACAGCAGTCCTGTCCTCCAAGGGATCATAGTCCTATGAGTAATGGGTGACTATATCCACAGTAATGGTGTCCTCCATAACTTGTATCCTCCTCCAATTCTGTAATAGTCACTGTCTCAGCTAGAGAAACTGTCACTTTAATGTCCTCCCACAGAAACTGACACTTGTCCACTAGTTACCAAATGGGAAGCCTTGAGAAAAGCACTGAAGATCTTGGTAAAGCATTGTGTCAGGGCCAAGATTAGTCACTAATACTAACTGATGGAATCTTATTTTGGGGAAATAAAATCTTTAAGAATATAAACATCAAAAACTGAAAATGTACCTCAGTGGTAGAGTCCTTGCCAAGTGTACACCAGGTCCTAATTTGAGCCTCAGAAACACACACATACACAACACACCTATTTTGTCACCCTCATTATTATCACAAGAACAGCTAACTGCCCTAGGTGTGTGTTACCCGTAGGTTTGTTCTAGATCACTCAATACTCACAAGTCTATAAGATTGTGCTGTTGTTACCCCTATGTACAGATGAGCAAACAGATTTGGGGGTTAAATGACTTTGTCAGGGATCCATATAGAGACAGCAGAGGAACCAGAACTCAGAGTGATATGGTATGTGTTGTGTCCCCAGCCCTGCACTGCCTCATCCAGCAGATGAGCAGCATTTACGTTCACTGGTGTCTGCCTCGCCCCCTTCTAGAGTTCAGTTCCCTGTGCCTGGTTCCTACCACTGTCCCAACATTGGACTCTCCTTTGTTGTGAAGAGGGCAGTGGCCATCGAGATTGAATTCTGTGCCTGGAGCCAACACCTGGACCAGACCCCCTTACATCACAGTCACATTGCAGCTGGGCCTCTGTTTGACATCAAGGCTGAGCAGGGAGCTGTGGCTGTTGTGTACCTCCCTCACTTTGTGGATCCCAAAGGTAACCAATCAGGTTAGGGTGTAGGTGAGAGGCTGGGGTCACCCATACATGAATTCAAAGGGTGAGGTGGAAAGGGGTTGTCTGAGAAGAGCCAAGGAGCTTTACCCACTCAAGGTGAAGTTCCTGTGACATCTTAACAAGAGTATTTTCTAAAGAGCGGTTAGTTTGTTCTACTTTCCCTAAGGACTGAGGGTGGTATGGGATATGTTTCCTGTCTTGGTACTTTTCTGTCAAATTCATCTTTTCTCTGTAAATTCAGCTTTACTCACATTCAGGGCATTTACACAATGAAACTAGATTCTTGGCCAAACTGTCACATTAATGGATCCTTTTAAAGTTCCCAATAGAAACTTTGCTACTCCTCTGAAACCTCAGGGACTGATCTCCACTGTCTCTCTCAGCATTCTTGTCTTCCCTGCTTTCACCAGGATATAGAAGTAAACTCTGTTCTCAACATGGTCGGGCTTTTCAATTCCTAAGTACCAAACTCTTCCACATTCTAACCACAAAACAGTTCCAAAGGCCTAAGGACAATATGATCAGGTTTATTATAGCAATGACCCAACTGCGGATATCAATTTTCTATCCAACTTCCATGTCCAGTAGCACAAATAAAATACCTGACCAAAGAAATCTTAAGAGAAAAGATTTATTTTGCCTCACATTTAAAAGAAACAGTTCATCCTACTTGAAAGTCTAAGAAGAAGCAATTTTTGGTGCCTGGTAAATTGTGGGAGCAGAGAACAGTGAGTGCTTCTGCTCGTGTGGCCTTTTTCACTTAACATAGCACTGGATCCTGGTCCATGGATCCCACAGTGTGTAAGTCCTTCAAAATCAATTATTCCAGTCAAGATAATCTCTTTCTATTGTACCCTGAGGCCTGCATCCAAGGTCATTCTAGATTTCATCAAGCTCACATTTGATATTAACCATTCATGGGATCATCCAGGTTTATCTTCAGTGGACAAAGGTAGATACCCTCGGGTCTCTTTCATAACAGCAAATTCCATCCTGCAACAAAGACATTAGTAGATACTACCATTCCCAAGATACAGAGGCTAATGATGGAAGCATTTCATAGAACCTGATGGGTGTAAAGTTTCTGACAATGGCTCTGTGGCTGTATTCTTATAACATTATGAATGAGACCATCAAGAATCTCCACTACACTGTAAATGCCTCCTTGAGCAGCTAGCCAGGGCCAAAGACAAGGCTGCTCCAATGAGAGACAGTCCACATGAATCACCTCTAGCAGAAGGTCACACTCATATCCCTGGCATTGTGAATCAATACTATGGAAATGTTTTGTTGATCTTCTATGCTCTCATTCGGGAATAATTTTTAAAATTTAATATTTTGGTTCACAGTTTGCTTCTCATAAACATCAAAAAGTAAGTAAATGTTAAAAAGACATCATGACCAAGGAACTTATAGAAAAAATATTTTATTTGAACTTAAAGATTCAGAGGGTGAGTCCATGACTGTCATGGCAGCAAGCATGGCAGAAAGCAAGCAGGTGTGGCACTGGAGCAGTAGCTGAAAGCTTACATATTTATCTTCAGGGAAGAGAGAGAAAGGAAGCTGGAAATAGCACAAGCTGTGACACCTCTAAGCCACCCAGAGACACACCTCCTCAATAAGGCCACACCTCCTACTCCTTCCCAACAGTTCAACTATGGAGGCCATTCTTATTCAAACCGCCACAGTCATTCTAAAGCCCAGGGTGCTGTTTCTCTAAAGCCATGTATGAGAAACACTAAATCCACATCTTTGAATCTTTTCATTCACAGAGAGACAGATGGACATCTTCTTGTTCCGTGTGGCCCACTTTCAAGAACATGGGCTGGCCCTAGAAATTCCAGCCAGACTGGAGCAGAACTATGCAGTACTGAAAAACCCAAGCTTTTCCCCAATGGGAGTTCTACTGAGAATGATCCCTGGCATCAAAAACTTCATTCCTATCACTGCCATCACATTGATCTACTATCACCACAATGTCGAGGAAGTCACCCTTCATCTCTACCTGATCCCCAATGACTGCACCATTCGGAAGGTAACACTGAGGACCAGCAATGTGGGGCTAGGGTGGGCTGACAGAAAACTTAAGATACAGCTAGTGAGCCCTTGGAGAGAATCTTTACTTAGAGGGGATACACAGTTCTATAAAGTGAATCATGATGATATTTATGATTCTGCCCTCTTGAGCCCCTCAAACAAGAATCTTCCCCAACTGTCTTTAATACTCCTTTATCTTTGCATAGCCTTCTATGGCCTCTTTCGACCTATCAGTGAAAGACCCTAGCCCAGTTGGGTGCAGCCCAAGAAGGAGAAGCCCCATGACTCAATTAACCAGTCCAGCAGATGCAAGAAGCAAGAGGCCACCACTTCTTTATTATGATAGCGCCACTGGGTGTCTCTAGTCTCCAAAGAGGTAGAGCACCCCGAACAGCAATTCCAGCAACTTTTTATAGGCAAAAACCACAACATTATAATAATGGGTATAAAGTACAGAACAATTGGATACAGCATTTAGCATTTTGGGTCAGTTTTAGGCCATAGCTTGTAACATGAAGGGCCAGGCCTGCTTGTTTGTGTTTCTGTCCTGCCCGGTTCCCCATAACTGTTTAGCCCCAAAGAAAATCACACATAGGTCTCCATAAATTATAAGCTGATTGACCCATTAGCTCTAGCCTCTCACTGGCTAACTCTCACATCTTGATTAACCCATTTTTCTGATCTATGTTAGCCATGTGGCTCAGTACCTTTTTCAGTGAGGCAGATCACATCCTGCTGCTTCGGTGGTCTGGGCAGGAGTGGGAGGAATCAACTTCCTCCTTCCCAGAATTCTCCTGTTCATTATATCATTTCTACTTCCTGTCTGGTTTTCCCGCCTATATTTTCTGCCTGGCCAATCAGAGTTTATTTATAATATGATTGACAGAATACAGACAATTCTCCCACACCAATAGCTATTTGTTCCTTCTATTCCCCAGAAATACCATAAAAACCCCAAACCCTGTCCTGGAAAGTCCCCAAACCCTATCATGGGAGCCAGGTGTTTCTTGGCAGGCTGGTGGTAGGGTACTGTGATCAGGGTGCAAGTTTCCTGGCAGGCTGGTGGTGCAGGGGGTACTGTGGTCAGGGTGCAAGTGGCAGTCAGGGCTGTTTTGCAAGTTTTGTACTTTTCCATTGCTGATTGCCATATATCTAGGGCATGTGTTAAAAGCAGCAACAAGCAGGCTTTTTGAGTTGGGGTCTTACTTGAGTTAGGGTCTTACATTAGAAGGATGGGAATGCTCCATATCCAACATGTAGTCAAATCCCTTCTTCTCTGGCAGGGACTCTGTTCCCACAAAGAACATGACAGAAACCAATAATTCAATAGTCTGTGTGAGAAAACATAAGGCAGAAACATGTTCAGGAAGTGTCATCACCCCACCCCACACAAATATACTAATCGACCATTTTTCCTTACTCAAACCAGATGTTACAGACAATAAATTTGCTAAATCACTGTCTCCAATGTTCCCTAGGCAATTGATGATGAAGAAATGAGGTTTCAGTTTGTTCGAATACACAAGCCACCCCCACTAGACTCCCTTTATATTGGCTCCCGCTACACTGTTTCTGCTTCCAAGAAGGTGGAAATCATCCCTGAGGTGAGCATATAGGTGTTTGTTTTTCTTCAGGCTTGGGAATCCTGTGGGGCAGGTTATAAGGCTTTGTAGCAAACTGAGATTGAAAAAAAAAAAAAAAAACTGGAATGTTGAATGAGTAAGATTATAGGTGGAAAGCAATTTAAGGGACCATACAAGAATACAGAAGGTCTGGCTAACTGAGGAATTTGATTCAATATGGCACCGAGAAAGGATAAACCTAACATAGACAGCAAGCCCTGGCTTAAGATGCATGAGCAATACCTTGAAGGTAAGCTCTCATTCATTATGGTTTAAATCTGAAATGTCTCCTACAAGTGTAAATGTTAAACACTCTATTCCCAGATAGTGCTAGTGTTTGGAGAGTTGTGGAAACAGATACGTGAGGCCTGGCCATGAGAAGCAGACCACTAGTGGCAGGACATAAGGGTTATAGCCATACCCTGTTCCCCACCTCAACTAGCTAATTGCTGATCCTCTGGGATATAACAAGCTGTGCCACAATCTCCTGCCACCAAGAATGTAGCCCCAGGTTACATACATTTCCCACCACTAAACTAAACAAAATGAATCCTTCCTTAAATTGCTTCCTGTCAGGTTTTTGTCAGAGTGATGAGAAAAGTAATAGTATTAGTGTTCCGGCTGGGTTCCGCAGAATTTTCCTTAACTTCTGGTGCTATGTTTTTTCTTTGTCCTCTTCCACAATGTTCCAACCTTCTGCGTAAAGATATGCACTGAAAGGCTGTGGGTTACCTCAGTGCAAAAGATGAATAGTGTCTAATGTGGTATGCAAGATCAAGAAAGTATGGGGTGTGGAAAGCCCTTGTTCACACAAGTAGAGACTTCACACACCCCCCCCCCCCCAACATTCTCGCTCTCACTCTCTCTCCAGGAACTGGAGCTGTGCTACCGGAACCCTGAGGAATATCAGCTCTTCTCTGAGATCTACATTGGACACTTGGGTTCAGGGGTTAAGCTCCAAATCAGAGACAAGAAACATAGCAATCTCGTATGGGAAGCCTTGCTGAAACCAGGTAAAATTCATTTAGGTACAGATACCCCAAAGGTTGAAGAAAGGGACTGAGTGGGGAAGGTGTGTTGTCATTAATTCTTGGTGTCATGAAATAGTCAGATCAGTTATGTGGCTTTTGCTAGATCTAAAACAGGTGGTTAGAGTTAGAGTGAGAGCAAGTGGGGGGAAAGGAGCAGGAAAAGGTGAAGAGAAGGAGAACAGACGAGGAAGAGGGACAGAGGAGAGAAGAGGAGAAGAAAGAGGCAGGAATCCCCTGCAAGATATTCTATTATAGGTCATGCCTCCAGTGACCCAGTTCCTCCAAAGGTGCACAATATAGTTTCCAATATCTTTCTCAGAACTCATATAATGATGAATGAACTAGTATAAAATCACAGCCCTCAGGACCTTCAACACATGATCATTTATCTGAGAACACACCTTATCCAAACCACCGCACACCCTAAGTCCATTTACTCTGATATGCATCCTGATTTCTGCCCCCAATACACTAGAAATGACAGATTTTTGAGACACCCAAAGTGTACAGGCACCAGTATACATTTAAATGTGAACAGTTAAATTGAAATGATTTTTGCCATCATGAGATATTTAATCTTTTTTACTTTTTTAATTAATTTATTTATTTATTAAAGATTTCTGTCTCTTCCCTGCCACTGCCTCCCATTTCCCTCCCCCTCTCCCAATCAAGTCCCCCTCCCTCGTCAGCCCAAAGAGCAATCAGGGTTCCCTGCCCTGTGGGAAGTCCAAGGACGCTCTCTCTCTGTTGTTTAATTAGTTTGGATAGGGGTTTGTCGATCTTGTTGATTTTCTCTAAGAACCAACTTTTTGTTTCATTGATTCTTTGGACTGTTTTCTGTGTTTCTATTTTGTTGATTTCCGCCCTCAGTTTGATTATTTCCAGTCTTCTACTCCTCCTGGGCGTGTCTGCTTTTTTTTTTTTTCTAAAGCTTTCAGGTGTGCTGTTAAGTCCCTGATATATGCTTTCTCAGTTTTCTTTAAGTGGGCATTTAGTGCTATGAACTTTCCTCTTAGCACTGTTTTCATCGTGTCCCATAGGTTTGAGTATGTAATTTTAAATACATTTTGTGTTTTGACAATTTTATACATGCTTTAAATGCACCCTAAATATACCTTATCTCCCTCCTGCTCCTGTCAGCCCCTCTTCTTTTCTACAAACCTCTTCCCCACAAAAAGGTTTGTTTTGTGTCTCTCAGAGTTTAACTAGGACCATCTGAATGCCTGCCAGTTTGAACTACCCAGTAGAAGCAAGTGAGTTCAAAAGTGGGTACAGATCGATTGTATACATTCCCTTCTCCCATATTCTATTTGTCAATAGTTTAGCAGTAAGTGGTACTGTCCCTGTGAGCTGCTTCCCCATGTCTAGTTGACTAATGGGCAGGCCCTACTTGTGTGGTCCAGAAACAGTAGGTACAGGTGCTCTGAGTTCATGATGGCCATGGTCATGTGATGCTTAGAAGAGAGCACAACATCTTCTCCATATCTTCTGTCCCTACATTCTTTCTAATTTCTTTTCCACAGTGTTTCTAGAGTCTCGATGGTGTGGTATAAATACCTATTGATAGAGATGAGTACTCAACCATCCAATAATGTCAGTATCCTGTACATACATAGATATCTACATTCATCTCCATTCACAGCAGTGAGAGGCTTTTCTTTTTTTTCTTTTTTTTTTTTTTTTTACAGAATAATAAACACCTTTATTACATGAGCTATGACGGATGGTTTATTTGCCTTTCCGGGCTTTGACCTTCCTCAGATAGAACTCCAGCTCCTTGTCTTCTAGCACATAGCCATCTCCCCTCCCCCCCGGCCCTGTGTTTGGGGGAAACAGGCCAAAAGCTTGCCCCTCTGGAACAGCTCCTCCAGGAGACTGCTGATCTTGGCGTTCTTTTTCCTTTCATCGTATTTCTTCTGAATTTTCTTTGATCGTTTTTTGTTTAATATTTCTTCCTCCTCAGGAGTCAGCTTGGCCCCCTTCTTGCGGCCCAGGGGCAGTGCATAGTGGGACTCGTACCACTGTCGGTACGGGGTGCTGTCAATGAGCACGATGCAGTTCTTGACCAGAGTCTTGGTGCGGACCAGCTCGTTATTGGACGCATTGTAGACGACGTCAATGATCCTTGTCTTTCGAGTACAGCACTCAGAACCCCAGGAAAAGTTCCCCACATCCAATCTCAGGGCACGGTACTTCTTATTGCCTCCTCGCACACGGACCGTGTGAACGCGACGAGGGCCGACGAGGGCCAATCTTAGTGTTAGCCGCAGGCCGTCCCAGCTCATACTTCAGCTTCTTGTGGTAGGGCTTTCTCTTGCCCCCGGTCTTGCGGCGCTTGTGCCAGTTGTCCCGAGAGATGCCCATCGCTCGGCGCTGGCAGGAAAGAGGAAGCGCAAAGCTTCACGGTCCGGTTTCTAAAACTCAGCCCCGCCTTCTTTCAGTGAGAGGCTTTTCTGAAGACAGCTTGAGAGCTGTTGTCTGCAGTATAAAAATAGATATTTAGAAGGACATTAACACTATGTCCATTTAGCTAAGCAGCAATAGTAGCTTCTCTCAAGGGCCTAAGACTTTCAAAGACCTGGGTTTGTTTGTTTTATCAGTTTAAAATGCTAGGGGTGGATTCTTCTCTGCGGCAGTGGCCTGAAGAATAATCAGGGAGCTTCCATCAAAGTTGTGCCTACTACTTTGCACAAAGACTATCTTGTCTGGCAGGATGGTTTGCTGATACCTTTTCTTCCTCAGCAGCCTGCAAAATACCATGGTGTCTTCAGCAATAAGGTCTTATCCATTAGTTCTGATAGGGAGCCAAGAAGAAGGAAATGTACATGTATTGTCTCGGGAACCTCCAGGGCCTGCATGCCCAACAGCTACTGTAGGGATATCCCACACCTGAAACCGGGTTTGTTTTTGAAACGTTACTTCTAAGATCTCCCATTTGAACACTCATAGGATATCTTGTATTCAAACTCTTTATGATTTCTGTATTGGGTTGTCAAATAATAGCTTTCATTGTGACTTTTAAATACTGTCTTCCTTTTCCAGAACCCATTCCACTGACCTACTTATCAACCCCACCCCACTCCTCTTGCTGTTTGAACATCTCTGCCCCAGTATTCCCTCTCTACCCTCATTTTACCAATACACTACTGTATTCCTTTCCTCCCTGAGGCCCTGCCCATTTTTAGTTTTCTGGTTTCCAGGGCTTCACCAAGTTAAACCCACAGAACTAAAGCCTCCAGGGTAGAAACTGCATGTGAGAGATGTGGTGGTTTCTTTCTGGGCCTGGCTCTTCTTCAATATTTTTCCTATTGTATACACTTACCTTTCATAATGCCATTTTCTTCACACCTGAAAAACATCCATGGTATGTAAATGCCACACTTCTGTTATCTCATTAACTGTGGATGGACAGCTAGGCTTGTTGCATTTCCTAGCTATTGGGAAAAGAACTTTATTGGGGGCTACTGAGTCCCAGCCTCAGCACTCCCTTGGGGTTCAGAACAGGGGTTCAGAATATCTAGGGCAAGCAAAAACTGGCTGGGAGAAAGGATCTGAGGGGTAGAACAAAGTGACTCAAGCATATTTCCTCTGCATGTTTCTTTATTCCTTGGTGGAGGAAGAAAAAAAGGACAAGCCCCCACAAGGCTTTCCATTTATATAGACATGCAGACAAGTTTGCAGTTCTGTAGGCAGTAACAATAGTATCAAACATGCATTTCCCAGAATCACAAAGGCAGGCAAAGGAGGCAACCTCTCTTACATCTCAGAGGGGGAGGCATGGCTGTAATGCTCTCCAGCAGCTACAAGGAGGATTAATTAAGAATGGGACTTTAAATCAATACAAAATTCTAAACAGAAGTTTTCATGCACTAATTACATTTCTTAAGTGTAACTAGTTAAGCTAGAAGTTTATGATTAATAAATGTAGAAAATACAGCAGTGCTGTTGCACTTAACTTAAAACTTCAACTTCCTTTCACTGGTGGCTGGGAACACAGCATTGGTAACCATAGTAGCCCATGGGCCTGGAAGGAAGGCTAAAGTACTTGATTTGCATCAGCATCTAGCTACCTGAATTAAGGAAATTTCCTTGTAGCTCTATTGGGGTGCCTGCTGGCACCCAGGTGAGAAGGAATTTCATTTTCTAGGGCTGGTTTAGTGACCCAAGCCTTTTTCCTGTATCTCTAGGGGTAAAGGCATAAACAGTTAATATCCTGGGCTATGATCTTATGTTAATTGAATCCAAGGTGAAGGGTAAACACACAATATTAGTAGTGTGTTAAGTTAGAGAAAAAGGCCAGTAGATTACAAGTTCCTGAGTCTGCTGCTAGAGAATTCAGGGCCATCCAGACCTGTTTATCAGGAAGAGCAGGCATATTGCCTCTCTGCTCAGTGCCTCCTGCTTAGGGCTCCTTTCTTTGTGGAAGTCCTGTCAACTGTCAATAAGGATAGCTGTGGAGAACTGGTTTTCTGTAGATCTGACTATGAGAACAAAGGTTTGCCTGGGTGAACACTTTCACACCAGGGCTTCATGGTGTGAGAAAAGGAATACAGTTGCCCTTACTGGAAAAGTCAGGTTTAAAGAATGGTTTATATGCTGCTGGGATACTATAAAAGGGAAAAATGTCATGATATTACAAAATTTCTACAGAATTGACAGTGATTATCCAAAAGACAAGTTTTCCCAAAGCTCTGCAAGTTGGGTTCCCCCTATGGAGTATACGCACACTCCCGTGAGTCTGCCCATTGGTCTGTCAGCTGTACTTTTGCTATATACTCTTATGGGCATATGGCAGAACTGTTGTCAGAGGCTGTTCATTTGTTCCCAGCTGCCTAGACACAAAATAACTACACACACACACAAAAAAATGTTTTAATTAAGTCACTGCTTGGCTTATTAGCTCTAGCTTCTTATTGGCTAGCTCTTACATCTTAAATTAACCCATTTCCATTCATCTGTGTTTTGCCACATGGTTGTAGCCT